TACCATTTCGGACAAATGGCTGTTCAGTCTCTTCTTGAAAACTTCCAGTGTTGGAGTATTTACCGCTTCTGGAGGCAGATTGTTCCACTGGTTAATTGTTCTCACTGTCAGGAAGTTTCTCCTTAGTTCTAGGTTGCTTCTCTCCTTGATTAGTTTCCACCCGTTGCTTCTTGTCCTGCCTTCAGGCGCTTTGGAAAATAGCTTGACTCCCTCTTCTTTATGGCAGCTCCTGAGATATTGGAACACTGCTATCATCCCCCCTCGTCCTTCTCTTCATTAAACTAGACATACCCAATTCCAGCAGCCGTTCCTTATATGCTTTAGCCTCCAGTCCCCTAATCATCTTTGTTGCTCCTCAAGTCTTACTAGAATTTAGAAAGGGACACTAAAATGTGTAGACATGATGTTTAATTATTTTTAAATTAATGCTTATTTAATTTGTGGATCTAATGGGCTCCATCTAAGGGGAGTTACTTATATCATGGTGCCTATGGGCACTGCATTACTGACATTTGGTTTATATAGTGGTTTTGGAAAGCTTTTATTGATTATGTAGTAGACTTCATAATGGAGATGTTGAGAATGACTGAGCTGTAGAACTATGAAGAAGGAGAAAGCTATTAAAAGGAGAAGAGGTTGATGTGTTTTTTAGAAATTTAGATAATACAGGACTGTTGAAAAATCCCAAACTCTGATACACTCTCACTTGTGACTAACTGCCTTGTACCAATGACAAGACTTTCTTCAGAGTAAATATGCCTAGGATCAGCATAATTGTAAGTTGGAAGTACAAATCAAGGATCCAAGTATTGTGGAGATTATATACTCATCTGCTTTTTAGCTTTCCACAGACTGATAAAACTTCCTCATTCTATCATTTTCCTGCACAAAGAAAGAAGCAGAAATATTTTTTAATATTAAGAAAGTTGAGGAGTTGGTTGGTATATATTGCAGAAAGTATCCCAAAAACTAAGCAACCTGGTGACAGATGGTGCATAAGATGAAGAGGAAGGGGTGTTCAGAGTCCCCTTGCCATGCCCTGCCACACACGTAATGTTGGGTCACACAGGAAAAGAAGCCAGAGAATTTTCCAGTCATTGCCCTGAAAGTACCCTGAGTTAAATCTGTATGTACAGCACCACTGTGGGGATAGTGCAATTTATGTCATCACACTTTTCTGCCAACTCAGCAACAGAAGGAATGTTCATTAACACTACTAGTAGAAACTACCGTTTATGTCTCATCAATGTTACAAACTGCTGAGTTGAGTGATTGCAAAATGTTTTGATGAGATGCTGGCAGCAAAAGAAGTTTCTCTTTTGGATAAATAGCAATTGATGAGGTTTTTATTGGTACCTTAATCCAAGTGGAGCAATACTACCCTACCCCTATCCCCACTTCCTATGTATCATTGTATTGGTCTTATCTTCAGCAATTCAATTTAAGAGACAATATTATTTTCATGTAGAAGCTGCTGTTGTTTTTTTAATGACATGTGCTGGCCAGAGAAGGCAATTTTGAAAACCCCCTGCTTTTTTTTTAACCATTCCTCCTAAAAGTGTGTTGTTGTTATTTCTAAATTTCACTGCCATTTTCTTTTTCTTCTATTATGCTTCATGCACTGATTAATATAAAATAAAACTGATAACGATTATCCTAAATGAAGTTTTGACATTTTTGCTCATCATCTGTTATTAGGAATTAGCCAAGTTTATTTTGCTGCTTTGTCAGCTTCAGTTCAATGAACAGGTCACAGGAATTATAATCTAAGAATGTGGGTTTGAAGTGCTTATTTCCATACAGATGCATCAAATATATAGTGGGTGTTTCCTTACTTAACATAAAAGGGAACTTATTTTCTCTCTTGGGTTTTAAAGGGAAGCTATGGGAATTGGATATGATATGAACAAGGTCTGTTCCCAAATCAATTCCCAAATTAAAAATGACAGAGAAGCCACTTGCTGCTGCCATACTTGGGGAATCTGACAATAGGACATTTAGTTTCATACATTTACATATAAATCTTCTTGAGCTCTGTTTTCGTCTTGTGACAGAGATAGGCCTAAATCCAATTTACTAAAGCAAGGGTGTAAAGGTGTAGGTCTATAAATATGTTGTGTATAGTATGTGTGTTATGTATGTGTACACTTCGAGAGCAAGCAACTAAATTTCATTCTTAATGTGTGTCATTGTGCCCACAGTAAAAAATGACAATAAGGGTTATCTATCTATCTATCTATCTATCTATCTATCTATCTATCTATCTATCTATCTATCTATCTATCTATCTATCTATCTATCTATCTATCTATCTATCTATCTATCTATCTATCTATCTATCTATCTATCTATCAATCTAACTATCTATCTATCAGACTCCTAGCTCTTTTTCTTAGGTTCATCCAAACTCAAATACTTAAAGATCACAATATGTAAGAAGTTATTTATTATATTTATAAATAAATGCCTTATATTTATAAATAAATGCCTTTATTATCTTGTAAGTAACTCAAGGTGGAGAACGTATACAATACCTTCTCCTATTTTCTCCATAACACTGTGAGGTAAATTGGGTTGAGAGAGAGAAAGTGACTGGCCCATAGTCATCCAGCTGGTGAATGGTGACATTGTTAAAATTATACTACATCTCTGTAATTACACTGGTTTTAAAAAAAGTCACTTAAATAATATCCAAGCAAGTATACATGGCTCTTTCCTGGCCCTTGCTGGTGTGGACAGATACCAAAATAGTATAATTACAGAGATGTAATATAATTTTAGCAACTTTACATAATTATGTGACTTTGGCTTTCAAATGTTTATAGAAAGTATTACATTAAACCTTGATCTGATGTCTCTGACATGATACCCTGATGTACCAACATGCATTTATATACCTCCATTGGAATTGCTAAGGTTCCTGCCCAATTTAGCTTTTTAAAAATTCATTTAATACATTAAAGGGGAAGCTGATTACAGAGAAAAGAAACAATGTCCACATTACTTATAATGATCTGGGATCCATTTCTGCCCCCTAAGTATTCTAAGAAATCCAAAATGAGGAATTGCATCCACTTACTTAGTTGAAACCAGAACTGCCTCCTAAAAGTAAACTGATGTGTAGTAAGCAGCATCCTCATCTGTCTGTCTTCCAGTAAGTGAAGACATAAAATGGGAGTCATTAACTATAAGCAATCTAAAAACGCTCTAACATATTCAGGCATGCTCACTGGCCCTAAATGATTGTGGACTTCAGCTTCAGGTTTGAAGCTAGTTCTCATATATGGCACCATTCTGAACTTTTTTAAAAATAACCCTAACTTCTGCACTTATGGGAGTACATACAATAAGAATAGAAAAAAAGGTAAAAATAGATTACCAGAGACACGGGAAAAAAGATTGGAGAAATGAAGGGAGAACTGAGCATATGGAAAAGATAGATATGTAGACCTAAGTTGAAATGTTTCTGATCCTATCCCTTTTTTATTTCCTCTCCCACAATCAAGATCCCTCCCCCTTAACTAACAATTACATCTTTTCCAAAAATATTTTTGGAGTAACTCAGGGGAGTCAAACTGCCAGCCCTTGGGCCGGATGCATCATGCCAAAACCGCCTCCACCCCATTGCCGGCAATGGGAAAAAAGTCACTATATGTCGCGACACATCACGTGACATTGCGAGTTTGACACCCCTGGAGTAACTGAAGAACTTTATCAATCAACATTGTATTGTGTTTTGAAAATATTTTCTGGAGATAGGTAGACATGAATTCCACAGAAAATAAAAAGTATCCTGGAATTATATAAATTTAAAAATGTTTATCTTATTCCAAAGAGTCTATCCGTGTCTTTATATATCTTATTCATATACGGTGCAGTAGTCTGGGCTCATGTGATCACTTTTGGGAACCTTCTGACAAGCAAAGTCAATGGGGAAACCAGATTCACTTAATAATTGTATTAGTAACTTAATAACTTCAGCGATTCCCTTAACAACTTTGCAAGAAAGGTCATAAAACGGGGCAAAATTCACTTAACAAATGTCTCATTTTGCAACAGAAATTTTGGGCTCAAATGTGATCATAGGTTGAGGACTACCTGCATTTGAAAATGTTATTGTAACTTTAGAACAGAAGTCACTACAGAGTATGTGCAAATATGCATTATGACTACATGTTCCCTTGACATTACAGCACTCCAAACTGAAATCAAGGATCGAAGAGCAATGTTGTGTGAGAATAAAACAGGAGATTCTCATTCTACTCTATAAAGGAATCAATATGAACCATTTTCTTTAATGTACCTGGATGGCTTTCAACTGCTTCCCACTAATTAATTAAAAGTAAAAACCATGGAAAATCACCAACATAATTGAAGCTGTGCAAAAAGAAAAAGAAATCCAGCAGGAACACATTTAAAAAAACTATTAAGCAATAAAGTATTTTCAGCAAAGGTTACTTACTCTGTTTGCACCTCTGAGCATTTTGTATTGTTCTGCTTCTAGTTCTGCAGCTAGAGCAGTGTATAAAATGTTTTTTGCCACTAATTGTCTCTCTTAGCAGACACATAGTCTTCAAAGTCAACTTATAAGGGATCACATCTAAACAAACTACCAAGTTCAGAGAACACCAAAAAGCCAATAGTTCAGATTTGGCATTTTTAATCCATCTATTTTTATTGTAATAATCTTATTTGTTTTTATTGCCTTCACTTTGCTTTCATTTTAGGAAAGCGGGTTTTGACAAATTTCAATAAATGGGGTTAGTGAAATTCGATCTGAATCAAAACGAACATAAAAATGTACATTTTTTTATCCACACAGAATACAAACTTTTTTTTAATAAAGCATAAGAAATTTAGGATGTTATTACTTTTAAAGCTAGATTAATGATCTGAATATCTCTACTGATCCCCACGAGCACCTCCTATAAAAAGCGTACAAAAAAGATAAAATTGGCCACTCCACAAGCCCGTTGCCCACCCGCCCCGCTTTTAGTCGTACCGGCCTGACGTCAACCATAGAGATGAAAGGACTTCCCTCCGCCGCTGCGCTGTCCCGCCTCATTTCTCGGCTTGGAACATGGCTGCCCTAGCAACGCCGGCGCTTGAGGGGTGGGCCAGGTACCAACAGGTAAATTTGTCCACATCTGCTTCGCTAAAGCCTTCCTTCCCAGTTGCACAACGGGAGGGGGGGACGGGACGGTTGGGGGGGATCGTGACTTGGCTGGATATATCGTCCCCCCTTAAGTTACCCGACCTTGACGTTAGCTGAGCTACAATTCCTGGAATGCTGGCAGTTACCTTTTGCCGTCTCTGGAAGGTCCCAAGTAGGAGACTTATGCCAGAAGATCTGTATTTTGTTTTTCCTGGGCAGTTAGGCATGTTAGCAGAAATGTACGGTGTCACCGGCTATTGCCGATTTCTTCCGAGGCATGGCATGGATAATGAAACCTGGTCATTTTAAAGGGAGCGGAGGAGAGCCTGTTCCTGACTGAAGAGGGTCAGTAATTGAAGTCCTGGGTACGAGAAAAGCGGGGGTGGGATAAGTCCTATACACCCAGGCTTGCAGAAACAAAAATCTATATGCAAAATCTCTGCAGTTATAAGACCATAGTTCAGTGATGGCGAACCTTTTAGAGACCGAGTGCCCAAACTGCCACCCAAAACCCACTTATGCATCGTCGAGTGCCGGGTGGGTGTGGCCCATTGGGTGGCCGTGGCTGCGGTGGTAACGGCAGACTGGGTGGGACTAAAAAGTTCAATCAATCAATTCCAATTTTGCAAGATCTTTTTTTTTTCCCACGAGAAGTTGAAATTGACTGATTGATTGAACCTCTTTTTTTTGTACACGGCAGTGGAGGTCTAAAGCGAAAAGGTTTTATAAAACCCAGCTGAAGGCCTAGGACTGGGGCGACGGCGCGCGTGCCCACAGAAAGGGCTCTGAGTGCCGCCTCTGGCACCCGTGCCATAGGTTCGCCACCACTGCCATAGTTCGTTATGAAAAGTCGCTAGCCCTTCAACCAGTGATGTGAAGCTGAACGTTTTGCCTCTAAATATTAAATGTAAAAACCCTGTCCAGCATTGTCAAATGCGTTTGGTGTCTTGCGTCTGTCTATACTTCATTTTTATGTGCTTGTTGGATGCTTTCTTTTTTCTGCAACAATTGGGAGGCAGAAGCTACTTTTTTTCCAGACAGTAAAACTGGGAAGCTCTGTTAGATTTTCTTCTGAAGGCTGCATTTGCCTCCTGCTCTCAACTCCTCTGTCATTTGCTGATGCTCCAGTTCCAGACATTTTGGGAAATATTGCTTTCCAGCTAGACAAAATGCATACCCTGTTTAATTGCAGAGAAAATATTATTACTATCTTCCTGTTGTGTAAATGGGGCATCTTTTTGGTTGACACACACCCTCCCAGCATATTCCCTGATTTCTGGGGAAAAAGGTTTTTTCCAGTTCTCTGCTACTTTATTGTCAAATTGAACATTCAAGTATACAACATCCTTTGCATGGAATTTTGAAACTTGTTGAGGTAGTAAAATATCAAAACATTTTAGCTTTGGAGGGTCCCTGCAGAATTGCCTTTACCATTTTATCATATTATTAAAATGAAAATCATTAAGATGAGGTTTGAAGTAGTTTTAGATCTAAATTGAACTTTCCCCTCTCTTTATATTTTAGACACTCTTTAATGAAAATGTACTAATGGATTTGGTTATAATGATTTTTAAAATTGTGTTTTGTGTAGAATGGCAGCTGTTTTAGTGCTCCAGATGCTCTTCAACATTTTCAGAGCTGGAAGACCAAAACTGATCAAGTTAAGAAAATTGAATTTATAAAAACAGGCAATAAACTAAAAAATCAGTAAGTTTAAATTCTGTAATGGTATAATTTGTCTAAAACAAGACATAGGAATAAAGTAAAAATAAAATATTTTAAAAATGGTCAGGTATTGTAAAAAGAGCAAATGTTTGAAATTTGTTGATATTTTTATTCAATGTAAATAGCTATAGCGACCTTTAAGGTAGCTTGTTTAGTTTCACAAACATTCATTTTCATAATTTGCTCACCTTGTGGTTCAAACAGTACCTGCTAGTGGGTCCATACATCTGCAAAGAGAATGGAGTATAGACATGCAGAGATTGTTTTCCATTGGTGTACCTATGGACTGGACTAGTCTTCCTTTGGAAAAGTGATCAGTTTTATATGCTATTAAAAACTGCTATTTCAGAGAATTTTGCTTATTTATTTAAATAATGTATTTGGCCACCCATCTCATAGCAGTAAATTGTTGGGATATGGATGTCTTCAATCTGTATGTTTTGGGGAGAAGTGTGAGTTGATTGAATTTATCATGTTTTAGTTTTGGTTTGATATATGAAGATTTGGACATTTTATCATTTTTATAAATGTATTGTAAACTACCTTTGATTGTGGCAGGGATAAATCCAAGAGATGGTATAGTGTAATGGTTGATACCAGGCTAGAAACCAGGAGGCTGTGAGTTCTAGTCTTGCCAGTTGGGTGACTTTGGGCCAATCTGTCTCTCAGCTCACAACATCAGGCTCTGGCATCAAGCAAATCTAATAGTAATATGTATCCCGTCCCTTGTCAAATATGTACTTCAACAAATCTTGTCCCTTTTCCTAGACTTGTGAACCTTGAAAAGGATAAGAATGTTCTTCTTTTCAATAAGAAGAGTGATTTTAGGATGGAATATTGCATACTGGAAGAACTGGAACACAAATTGACTAAAAACCGGAAAACAGAAAGTAAAATGTTATTTTATTTCTTTATATTTATTCATTAACTATTTTGAAAAATACTGAAAATAACTTCCTGATTCATTGTTATGTAAACAACTGATCAACTTTGAGGTTTTCGTAGTGTGCTCCCCTGCAATTTGTATGAAGGTTAGTGGGGTCGCGATGGGTCGGACACAACTTCGCAATTAACAACAACAAATAGCATTAGGAAATCTTCATTGATTGAAACAATGGGTTTTCTGTTGGGAGTTACATAATATTAGTGAACAGAGCCAGAATACCTCAAAGTAATTATCTAATAGTAGAATAGGAGTTTTACTTTGCCATGGCCAGATTATCCATTGCCTCTGCAGAGGAAAATAGCAGTTTTGGAAGGTATCTTTTTTCATTCATTGCCAGATCAAGGACCTTCATATAGAAAGAGATAGCGGAGGGGTGTGTGTGTGTTTGGAATGACATTTAAATAAAGATGAGTGGACTGACTGTATGCAAGTTAATGCACTCTGACTTACAAAAATTGTTTAGCAAATTCTTAATATTTCAAAATTTCTTGCTTCATTTCTTAAAGTTTAAGAATTGTAGAGAACAGTGTTTTAGGCATTTGTGCATTTTTATACTTAAACATGAAGGAATTCAAAGTGATAAGAGGGCAAGATATTAAAGCAACATAATTTTCTAGTGGAAAAATACTAATAAGATGGTTGTGTTTTTTTTATAGAAGCAAAAATACAACAAAAACTGACCAGAATCCATAGTACTGTTAAGGGACTTCAGCGACAGCTAAAAGATGTGAAACCAACTCCAGAATGTAAGCCACTAATAACGTTTTAGTTATACAAGCAAAATCGCTAAAAGTAGTTTGAATAATTGTGCTGTAAATTATTTGTATTTTAGCAATAGTACTTGCAATTTCCTAATTATAAAGTTGAAAAGTTTTTTTTATTTCACATTTGGGTAAACTGAACAGAGTTGCAAGGTAACATTGAGACTTTATAGTTTTCAGTTCACTTGCTAAGAAATATGTTGAAATTATTATCTATTCACAAAAATGTGAAGTCACAGCTGCCACTTCTTTGGTCTTTATACACACTGAGTATTTCCCAAGAACTTAGAATACTGTAAGGTATCAGTGTAGTATGTGTGTGGATCCAAGCAGTGTGACCTTTTACAATTGACTAATGGAAATTTTGCTAACGTGCACATTTTATAAATGCTGCCCAAGGTTTTTTGGTATGGTACTCTGTGTGCCAATAACTACTGGAACCATTATGGCTAGTTTATGCCATAATTTCCCAACTTTGATTTTCATTATGGTTCGTCGCATAGTCAGCCAGATGTTCAGACTAGATTTGGCATTTTATCCACCTATCGTATACACAACAGCTTGAAATCATGTGCAAGTTTTTTAGTTGGTATTGGTTTCATATGCATTTCTATTATTTTATCTCACCTTTTTTTAAAAAAATGCTCAACTCAAGGCAGTGTACGTACCTCTTTTTTCCTATTTTCTCCACAACAACTATATGGGATGAGTTGGGCTGAAAGAGTGTGACTGGCCCAAAGTCACCCAATCAGTATTCATGCCCAAGAGAACTCACTTTCCTGGTTTCTAACTAGCACCTTAACCACAACACCAAACTTGCTTTCTTAAGCTTATAAAATGCAAAGAACCTTAGAAAAAAAATTCAAAGGATGATGTTGATGTCGCTTTCGACATTTCTGAAGTGAGTATTGTGACTTTATATTAATATCAGGGCAGCCGCAATTATCCTTTTACCTGGGATCAAGTCAGAATGACTCGATACAGAATGGAACAGGACACCTTCAGCTGGAATTGTTGCATAAAAGAGGGGATTCTAGCAAAGGAAGGTCTTATGGGAAGCCTCTGCTGCCAAAGTTTTCTGTCTCACTGTTGAAGATACAAGAAATTTATCAATTTTTAAAAATCTTATTATTCTAGGTCAGGATCATTTAATTGTAACTTGATTTTGTTAATTTATTTTCTGATTATGCTTCTGTTCTCGACACATACATTTTGGGAACTGAATAGCACACTGCATATATCAAATTTTTCTTTTTTATTATATTATTATTTTTAAGTTGGATTATTTAAGATACACTATCTTTCTCTGCTTTGTGATATGTTTGAAATTCTCGGTTTTGACATGCAAATATTATCTCCTCTCTCTTTTGTAGTTGTTGACAAGCTTAGAGAAATGATGGAAGAATCTGAAACAGCAATAAGTTCTTTTAAAGAAGAGCAGCGACAAATGTATTTATGGTTTTTTTAAAAAAATAAAATATGTATATCTTGGGTTTTGTTACCATAAGTTAATTAATAGGAAAATTTAAAATGTTAACCAGGAAACATTCATATAATATTTAAAAAGTTAATAAAAATGAAAGAATACAAAAGGATACAAATCTAACTTTATTAAAAGTTTTCCAGTAAATTAGCATTTCTGCTGTAAATAATCCAGAGGCCTTTTAATAGTGTTATAGAAAGCCATTGAAGTAAGAACTACAAATAATACGTAGAAAGTAAATTCTAAAAATTATTTATTTAGCGGCATGTCTTGTGGCAATTTTTAATCTACCCTCACTCTTAGTATTTGATATAAAATCAACACTTGAAATATTTAATATATTCTCAAAAGCTAAATTCGTTTATGTAACAAGATATATTTAGTAATATTGTATATATTATAATCCATAAAACAGTAAAGTGCATTTTAAAGACATGAAATGTTCTCTTCTTTTGCCATCTTTATGAAAGTCAAGTATTAAATTCCTTTTGGCCACTAGGTTTTCTTTATGTTTCAAATTGTAAATGTTCGTGAGTGTTCCATTTAAATAGAAATTCAGCATATAAATTAAATAATTCATAAAATTAAAATGTATGGCTGGATTACAGAATAAAGCAGCATCTTCCAGAAGCCCACATCTGACATAAGGAGCACCGGAGATAGAGGATGATATTCTTTTTTCCTCCATTTCCAATTTGTTTTTATTTCAGGAAAGAAAATTCTGTTCTCGAGTTACGTAGAAAGAGGGAAGTCAAGGCTAACAATGTCTGTAGAAGACATTCTCTTTGCCAAGTAACTGTGGTTCACCTGGGAAAGATAGGATCCCCCTGTTAGCAAACTCATCTCTACCACTCAGACCATTTAAATGGGGGTTATGAACTGCTATTTAACTGATTGAGCAGTTCATCCAGAAATGTAACATTATTTTTGTTATGAGTTTGTCTGGCAGCCATGACCATGACTTTTCTTTCAACCTACTTATATAAGGAAGGGACAATAACTTTGACCAATTTGTGCTATTGCTATAAAAATTGTGGATGTGGATGTGTGTGTGTAGGAATGTAAAATAAAAGCCTTTAATGTGCTGGTGTGCTATATTATTTTTTTATCTTTGATTTATATTTCTACTGTATGACAAAATAATTAATTTAAAAGTTAACCCAAATTCTCTTAATTTTAGATATACTTTGTGGTTAATTATCTAAGACAATAAAGTACTTGGCCTTTGTAAGAATAATATTTACATTTTATTGTATCTTTGTGATTTAAAGCTCTCTGAAGAAAATTTCTGAGGTTTGCTACCAGTGTCAGGATTTAAAGATCTGTTCTAAATATATACATCCAAAACCCATTTGGATTTTCTGAGTGATATCATATCACACTGCTGTTGTATATTTGTTCAGTTTGTACAACTGTATGAGAATGAAACTTAGGCACAGAACTAGTCACGTTATTTTTTATTCTATGTTAGGTTATTTATTTATATTTTTAAAATTTTAGTTATGATGAACTTCTAAGAGAGGAGAAGGCTGCTACAAATGAGATCAGTGCCTTGGAAAGAAAAATCGAGATGTGGGCTGTAGGAACTTCAGCTGCAAGAATTTTCAAGCAATGTGTATTTCCAGTACATAAGGAAGTCCAAAATCAACTTCCTGAAGAAGTCCTTGAGCTTGAAAAATTTCTTCAGCAAACTGGAGGAAGGCAAGGAGGTTGGGATGAATGTGATCATCAAATCTTCCTAAAAATTAGGAGAAAACATAAAGGGAAACCGTCATACATCACTGAAACCCTTGAGTTCCTCCCTGATAGAACAAAGGAAGACATTCAATCACATGAGAAATGGCATCAAGAATTTCTAATGTTAGAGTCACATAAAAAGGAGGTGAGAGAATTTTGCTAATTCATTTGTCTATAAATTTAATAGGGCCACTGTATATTAGAATTGATCTATGCAATTAGGTTTTTCTTAACCACTTGTTGTTTATTTATGCTAGCATGTAAATGTTTTCTAGTTTCATCAATACTCCCTTACCTGGCACCTCTAGATTGGTAGAATGATAAATTCCACAATTCCAATTGTTATGCTAGGAATTGGATTTAGAATTGAAAGAGTACTTATATGATGTAGTAATTACAGATGATAATGTTCAGTGCTTTTGAATACAAGAAAATGCAATAACTGTTGCAATAATCAAGAATATTTTACAGTAGTCCTCAACTTACAGCAATTTGTTTAGTAACTGTTCAAAGTTACAATAGCACTGGAAAAAAGTGACTTATGACCGTTTTTCACACTTATGACCATTGCAGCACCCCCATGGTCACGTAATCAAAATTCGAATGCTTGGCAACTGTCTGTATTTATGATGGTTGCAATATTCTGGGGTCATGTGATCACCTTTTGAAACCTTCTGCCAAGCAAAGTCAACAGGGAAGCCAGATTCACTTAACTGTGTTATTAACAACTGCAATGATTCACTTAACAACTGTGGTAAGAAAGGTCATAAAATAGGGCAAAACTCACTTAACAATTGTTTCACTTAGCAATAGAAATTTTGGAGTAAATTGTGGTTGTAACTGGAGGACTACCTGTATTTGGGGAAAATAGGTTGTCCTTTGGCTTCTATATTAGACTACACTGCTTCATGCTCTTTCTCTCTCCTTTTTTTATTCTTACAGCCTATAATTCCCCTGCCAACAAACAGTCACCTAGTTGTTCATTGTTCCTCTATTCTAAGGGTTTGGTGATAGTCATACAGACTGGAATTCATTCAGTTTTCATCAGAAAATGTAAAAGCAAAATGTAAAAGCATTCAATAGTCTAACAAAGGATTGCAGTAGTTTAGTTGTTATTTCCTAATCATAGTCCTCAACTTATGACTGATCGCTTAGAGGTATGCTTTGCATCTTTCCCTAAGCCTGGAAGGATTTGCAATAATCTACAATGGTCTAGATACTGTGTTAAGGAAACAGAGCAAGCCGCTCCATTCTTGAACCATTAGGCATAATCCCAGAAGTTGCCATTTTTGAGCACCAACAATTTACAAATCAGTAGATGGCTGGAAATAAAGTATGTGAAAGTATTTAGTACTATGTCTGTCTGTCCAGGTAAACCAAACAAGAAACATTACCTTCTTGTAAGGCTACATTAACAGAATCTTGTAAGTTTGAAAGTACAAATCTCCCCCATTGCTTCTAACAGCCTGATTAATTAGGTCAAGTCCTTCCTAAGTTTCTTTCTCTGACTGTTAAACTACTAGGAGCTCCTCCCTCTCTTGTCAGATTATTCATTAGGCAGCATCCTCTCCCTCCCACAGTCATTCCCATATACCATTATGGCCCATCAGAAGGATATCTAAAAATAGAATGGAATCAGATTTGTTGTAGAAGAGGCCAGCAAAGGAAAAATGGAGTTAAAAAAATAGGTTGGGTCTGCCTAGGATTAGTCAAATTAATCCCTGGGGAGAAAGGATACACAAACATA